TTATTCTTGAGTTTATTGCTTTTCAAAATTTGTACATTTCACCTGTTAATTCCATTGACATGAAGTTTTCATAACATGCTCTTATTATCCTTTATTATTTGTAGTGATGCCACTTCTCTCATTCCTGATATTGGTAATTTGTATCTTTTACATTTTTTCCCTCTGATCTGTCAGGCTAGATTTTGATTTTTCTCAAGGAACCAGCTTTTTAGTTTCATTGATTTTTCTCTATTTTTTTCTTTCTGATTATATTGATTTCTGTTCTGATCTTTATTTCCTTCTGTTTACTTTGGGTTTCATTTGCTCTTCTAATGTGTAACCATGGAAACTGAGGTCATTGATTTGAGATATATCTTCTCTAATATAGGCATTAAGTGGTATAAATTTCTCACTAAGAAAAACTTTAGTGGAATCCCACAAACATTGATATGTCATTTTCAATTTAATTTAGTTCAATACTTTCTAATTTCTCTTTTGATGTCTTCTTTGACCAAGGGTATTTAGAAGTGTACTTTTTAGATTCCAACTACTTGGTGATTTTCCAATGATCTTGCTCTTATCGATTTCTAACAACTCCACTGTGGTCACAGGACTTACTTTGTATGACTTGACTCCTTTTGGAAGGGTTTTATTTTTTTATTTTTTATTTTTTTCCTTTTTGTCTTTTTTCGTGTCCGGCAACGGATCGCAACCCTCAGTGTCGCCCCCGTACCGGACTGGGACCGGCAACGGGATCGCAACCCTTGGTGCTGCGCCCACCCCTCGCTCAGCCAGTGAGCGGGAACCGGTCTGTATGTGGGATCCGAACCCTCGGCGGGAGCGCCGCCGCGCTCTCAAGCGGCGCACTGTAGCAGTGCGCCACCGGGCCGGCCTTGGAAGGGTTTTAAAAGCTGAGAGATATTAAGGCATGTTTTATGTAATGGTAATCTCAGAGGTAAAATTTGATGAAGGAGAGTGTGGGGAAAATAGGATAATTTAGTCAGGCTCCCTGACATTTCTTGTAAACAAGTTGTGTGTGGTTGGAATTAGTGCCCATGCGCACCCATGTATCTTTCTAGTTAATTGCTATTGTGTTCTTCAGTTTGTGAAGCAGGCTGGCAGGCAGAGAGCTTGAGTCTAAAAATAGAGTATGTTTACTCTGCTGGCAGCTGCTCAGTTTTCAGTTTTTATTTGGACTTTGCTGGTAGCAGTTGAGTTTCTGAGTTTCTTCTTGTACTGCCTAGCTTATAGGGTTGTGTGTGCTGAATAAAGACAATCCTACTTCAACCAAGGCTCCAAGGACCTTTTTGCCAGTTACCTAGCTCATAGATCTGTGTGTGAAGGGTTTGTGAACGGGCACGAGGGGTCTGTGAGCTCCAGATCCTAACCCTAGCTCTGCAGAGAGAAAGAGAATACGGTCATTCCTCGGTATACACAGGGGGATTGGTTCCAGAACCCCTGTGGTTACCAAAATCTGCAGATGCTGAAGTCCCTTATATAACATGGCATAGTATTTACATATAACTTATACAGATTCTCTCATACACATTAAATAATCTCTAGATTACTTGTAATACTTAATACAATGTAAATGCTGTGTAAATAGTTGTTATACTATATTTTTAAAATTCGCATGATTTTTAAAATATATTTTTTTGAATGTTTCCCATTTGTGGTTGGTTGAATCCCTGATGCTGAACCTGCTGGTAGAGAGGGCTGACTGTAATTACAAGAACAAAATGAGTGAAAAGACTGATCACACATGGATCCAGAACTCCAGTGGTGGGTGGGACCTTCAAATCAGGGCACCTCCTCTCTTGTAACAGAAGAAAGGCAGAGCGTGTGGGTCTAGGTGCAGGTGTGTTGGGTGGCTCTCCTTGAGGGCATTTCCTTTCTTTTTGAAGGGTGAGAGATTCGAGGTCATCAGCAAGAGGGATTAGTTTGGGGGATCTGAGGAAAGAACAGTCATTTTTCAGAGGGGGATAGTGAATTTATTATTAGGGAACTAGGCA